ATTTGCCTTTGTACTGTTTCTAAAGAACTGCAAAATGATAACAGACACAAAATACTTTGTTATGAAAATGTTCAAAAAGTTTTTTTTTATATTTTTGTAACAAATTCAGAGCGTTTGTTTGTCCCTTAGATAGAAAAAATTTTGTTAGTAATAAAAACAAATGCAGCTGTCACATCTTTCATCCCTTTTGCTATGGGTAGGTCAAAGTGCACATGTCATGACCTTTTAGAGAGTTGCATTTCAAAATGTAATAAACTACTTTATTATTAATGTATTTGAATAAACTTGGCATCAGAATGTAGTTAATAGAACAAATTTTAATATTATATAAGTTTTAAGTTCTTTGTTTTAGAAGCAGATTATTAAAAAAGCCCTCAATCTTCCCTAGTATAAGAATCATGGCATTTGTTCTCTGGTTTCTCCCACCTTTAATTTATTACTTCTACTCTCATAAGTATGGAATTTAATGTAAATTATTTATTATAATATAGATATTACTAAGGCTTAGTTTAAGTTTTACAGCCTTCAATGTTATTTGTTTATGGATTCATAAACTAGAAAATCAGAATCACTTGCCACACCTACCTGTCACATCCTCTCTTTCACAAGTTGCCAATAGTTTTTTCTAACATTTTACACTATATTATTTATAACCAATAGAAAGGCATAGTTTTAATCTATCAAATGATGTAATTATATTATTGTTTTCAGTACAGAATATTGTTTACTTCAGTTTGAAAGTTTATCTTGTGGTTTTCAGATCAAGAAGTTTTGGGAATTATGTTAAGAGTCTTATGCCATAGTTAGAAAGCCAGTTAGATTATGATAGTTAAAGAACATTGTTTGTATTGTGAGTGTTATTATTCTGTGTTCTTAGGTGCATTATTTAAGTAAATAAAAATGTAGCGTATTAGTATCATCATTATAAAAAAGTTTAAATTTCATTGGCAACCAACAGCAAATGAACAGAAGGTCAAAGGTAATTTTTCATGTATATTCTTTATTATTATAGAAGTAACTAAAATTTTAAAATTTATTAGGTTAGATTAGGTAGGATAATGAAAAATGATGATAAAAATTCTGCATGGGATATGCTCATGAGCAACTCGTGTATTATGTCATTCAATGATAACATGAGCTACTTGTTTGCTGAGTGATTTATAACTTTTGTGGTGGGATTATTAGTTAGACATGATTCAAGGAGCAATAAAATTAAGTGTAAACAGATGTATACTGTTATGAGAGCTTTAAGCCATTTAGGATAAGCAACTGTAATATCCAGTTACAATTTTTGGTTGTTCTAAAAAGAAAAAAGGGTAATTTGGATTTTGTATTTTTTTATGGTGGTTACAAGGGCAGTCAAATTGGCCAACTTCATATACAGTTAGGGTAGAGAAAATAACACATAAAATCTAAAGTTTTACTGTAAAAAATGTTTGATTTAGAACATTTTATGGGTTGTGCAAATGAAATATAAACATTTTCAGATGAAGAAAAATATATTTAATCTTAACATGAAAATCGCTTTGTACTTGGAGCAGTCAGTACTTTATGGACAAATCTTTAGTAAAAATGCTTAATTAAAAAATCTGATTTTTATTTTTTCACAAAAGACTTGTAAGTTTACTGAATGCTTGTAAAATTTTGTGAAGATACACAAAACATATTAAAAATTACAGTATGGAAACTGATGGTTACAAGATCAGTCACTGTGACTGATCCTATATGGAAGGAATTAAACAAAATAGTTTGTTTAATAATAAGCAAAAAATTCACAGTTATACTCATTATTTAAAAAAAACAGATGAGAGTTAAAAATCAACAAAGAAACTATTTAATAGAAACAGCATTCTAACATACTGTCTTTCATTAAACTACTGGTAATTGCATTATATTGTCTATACATTTCGTATTATTTTTGATGTTTTCTAAAATGTACTTAATATCCAGCTCATCTCCAAGTTTATTTGGATATTTATTTCAGATGATGACATGGTTTTAAGCAATGAAGGAAACATAACAGAACAGTGTTATCAACCATTCAGCTCAGTGGACCATACTACCATAGGGAGCAACAATGTTGCTGGAATGATGCCACAGTCAGATCCTTCTCAATGGAATGTCATGAATGCATTTAATATGATGGGCTTGATTCCAGATCCTAACATGTTGAACATGATGGGAATGAGTGGCTTTGGTCAGGTGAGTAGCCAACAGTTTTATAAATGAAAAATGTAAGAACCAGTCATGTACAGATGATTGTTTTGTTTCTTGTGGCATATTCCAAATACTCAATCCTAGACATTTGCAACCAAAAAACCATTCTGTAGATGAGAAAATTATCAATGGATACAACAGAGTTCTTCCCTAATTATGTTACTTTTGTTCAATTAATGTTTATTTTATTAATTTATGTGTAAGTTTCATTGTGTTACTCAATAGGGTTTCTTTTGTGCTTCATGTAAGAATGTTTTAATGGTTTTTAATTCAGAAATTTTTTCATTTTACTGCTTTTTTTTCATCTTGAGCTCATCTTCATATAAAAAAACTAGAAAATTTTTTTTGCGTGCACTGACACGTAGTTTGGCTTTATGGGTACTCCTGACATGAATATGATGAATTCCGGAATGATGGTTCCTGCAGCGCCTGTGAAAGAAGTAATTCGCTACAAGAGTTGTGTTCTGTATCCACCAAAACCAAGTAAGTACATAAACAAATGTTTTGTTCTAAATGTGTCTTCTCAGTGTTCAAACATTTCTTTAATCCATTATTATTTTCTATATATTTTTCCATATTAATCTCATTTTGGTGTATTAAGTAAAGTGGTTTCTCTTCACTTGGTTGTTCTGAGAAAGCCTTCTCTCCTGTGAGGAGGAAAATGTATATGGTTGCTTTATTTCTCCTTATCTTTCAGACTTGTAAAACAATTAGCAACATAAATACTAACTGTTTACAGTTGCATAGTTTACAATCTGTAATGGTTTGAGCTTTTCCTATTTTTGACATTGAGGAGCTAAAAATTTGATTTTTCAATATTAATTAAGAAATTTAAAACACTTATAAGGAGAATGTATGGAAAGGAAAATATGCAGCTGTTACAAGTTAAAATTGTGTAATATGTAATACAAATATTTTGTTGAATGTACAAATTTTTTATCAGTGCATTTGTATATGCCACTTATATTATTAGTCACAAGCAAAAGTACCCATCCCCAGTGATGGGAAAGGTTAATTGTGTTACACTCTTGGTTTCACTCAGAGCCATAGCGCTGAGCTACTTATACCACCCACCGTGAAAAGTAATTGTTCAGCATTTAAGTCATGCTAAGAGCCTCTGAGCAATAACACACAATAAATCTACATTTTTATTCTTTAAGTTACATCACATTTTCAAATGTCAATGATAGTGTGATTAATTCCTAACAATTTAGTGTAGAATATCCTGCTTGCAAAATAAAATTTGGCATCACTATTATTAATGCCATTCTCACATCAAAGTGAATGTTGACCTTGGACAGACACCATGGTTCACAATATTTATAAGATAGTTGATAGGGTTCCACTGTACTAATGGTAGTGAATATGCATCATCTACACATTAATAAGTTAAGTTTCCTTTTGAGGTACATCATTAAGGACTTATTAGGAGATGGTTTAATGAGAAATACCAGTGAAGGTACTCAGAATTGTAAAACTTTTTTTTTCCTTCAAGTAAACAATTTTTTTATATTGTATGTCTTGACTTAAGTTTCCTTCTATTTGAGCACAAAATTCTCACCTTGTACCATAAAGCCAGATGCTATTAGCCAAGTGGCCATATAGTAAAGCAGTCAATATTTAGACTTTGCACAAAGAACATTGATTGTGAAAAATCAAAAAATTTTTAACTAATAGACTAAAATTATTTCTCATAGTGAGTTACATTATAACCAAAGTAGAATGCTGGTAAAGAATATTTTGAATTTGTTTCTTTAGATGCCCCTCCATCCTCCACCCGAGAAAGACCCCCAGGTTGTAGAACAGTTTTTGTAGGAGGTTTACCAGAAAATGCAACTGAGGAAATTATTCGTGAAGTTTTTGAGCCCTGTGGACCAATATCAACAATTCGCCTAAGCAAGAAAAATTTTTGTCATATTCGATTTGAAAGTGAAATGTTTGTTGAT